GTGCTGCTAAGTCCTGCTTCTAAGAACCTCATCACATGGTTAGAGAGACAGATAATGAACATAAATTAACCTGTCTTCCCAGAACACTGTCTTTCTGTGCTATAAAACCCTTTACCACGTGAAAGGGAGTGATACACGGCTGTTAAGAACCCAGCTCTGGAGCCAGCCTTGCCACCTGTGTGACTTTGAATAAGTTGCTTACCCTCTCTGGGCCTTACTTTTCCGATATGTGAAATGTTTAATATTTGCCAACGGCCACTCCTGTTCTTTTTTGTTGGTTTGTTTTAGTGGCTCAGCAAATATATTCATACAGCCCTCCCAACATTTCTGATATCCCAGGAGAGCTTCCCAAGGCTGAAGAATGGCCATGCTGATGAGAGGAAAAGAGAGGAGGTAACTCATGTCCCACAAGGGGACAGCACCTTCCTTTCTGGGTTCATTCTGAGCTTTTCAGGAGATACTGCACAGGAAGGGCTGCGTCCAGGAGGCACGTGATATCTATGATATGAAGCACTGCCCTTTCCCATCCTTCAAAGCCTGGTCACATGTCCCCTCCCATGAACCTTCCCTGGGCCTCTCGTGGGACATGAGTCACCTCCTCTCTTTTCCTCTCATCAGCATGGCCATTCTTCCTCCATGGGACTCACCCCTGGGATATCAGAAATGTTGGGAGGGTTGTATGTATATATTTGCTGAGCCATTAAAAGAAAACCAAAAAACACCACCAACAGGACTGGCCTTTGTCACACATTAAATATTGAAGGAGATTTTTAATGAAATAACAATCAAAAGTCTACAAAACAGTGGCTGGTTTCTGAATCCACCCACATCATGCAGTGTTTCAATCCATCAGCTCCGAGCACCCTGTTGGCATTTCACATTCCCCTCTACCTGGCACACGGTGAGAACCCAGAAAGGTGGGTGACACCTTAATGACTAAATGAGTTTGTTTTTGCTCTGACACGTGCAGTAGATTTTCCAAGTGCAAAGTTCTGAGGCCTGTACCTTGAACTCTTTGGAGGAAAGGAGCTATGGAGACCGATTACAGGCAGGAAAAACAGTAACACCTCATTTACTCAGCGGAGTGGGGTGAATCGTGCCCTGTGAGATAATAGGAAATACATGGATTGGTCTCTGCCCCCGGTTCCTGGCACAGAGCCCCTGAAACCCTTGTCATTTCCTAAGTGACAAGAGCAGTACTAGTGTCTTTTGTTCCAAGGAGGTGACTCTGGGTGGCTCCTGGATGGGGGCTGGTCACCAGAAAGACCAGGCCATGATTAGAAGCTTGGAATGATCAGCTCTACCTCCCCACACTTCACCAGAGAGAGAGCACGCCTGCGTGAGGAAGCCTCCATGAAATCCCAATAGTATGGGGTTCAGAGAGCTTCCGGGTGGGTGGACACATCCACACTCCGACAGGGTGACGCAGCCTAGGTGAGACTCCTGTGCCTGGGGACCCTCCCAGACGTCGCTCTCTGTGTCTCTTCATCTGGCTGTTGATCTGCGTCCTTGATCATGTCCTTGAACACACTGGTAAACGTATCTCCTGAGCTCTGTGAGCTGTTCCAGCAAATTAGTTGAATCCGAGAAGGGGGTCGTGGGGTCCTCCAATTTGCAGTCAAGTTGGACAGAAGATGTGGGTAACCTGGGACCTACTACTTGGCGATTGGCGTCTGAAGTGGGTTGGGGGCAGTTTTGTAGGGAGTGTCATAATTGAGTTGAATTGGAGGACACTCAGCTGGTGTTGCCGAGAATTGCTTTTTGTGGGGGCAAAAAACCTCCACATGTTTGGTGATGAAGGGTTGGAAGTGAAGTGTTCTGTGTAAGTTGGAAAGGAGACACAGGAGGGAAAGATGAGGTCTTTCCAGTATGCTCCCCCAAAAGATAGGTCCCCATCCTAACCCTTGGAACCTGTGAATGTGACCTTGCTTGGAAGAAGGGTCTGTGCAGACGGAATGAAGTTAAGGATCTCCAGAAGAGATCATTGGGATTACTTACCCAGGTAGGCCCTCAGTCCAGTGACAGGTGTCCTTATACGGGACGGAAAAGGAGAAGATACAGACACAGAGAACAAGGCCATGTGAAGATGGAGGCAGAGATTAGGGCGATGCAGCCACAAGCCGGGTAACACCTGGAGCCCCCAGAAACAGGATGAGGTAGGAAGGGCTGTCCCCCAGAGCCTTTAGAGGGAGTGCGGCCCTGTCGCCCTCCAGAACTGTGAGAGTAAATTTCTGTTGTTCTAAGTAACCCGGTTTGTGCTTCTTTGTTCCAGCAGCCCCCGAAAACGAGTACGGCTGCTTTGGACCCAACCTGAGTAGCTGTAGTTGAGACTGTGAGGCCCACAAACCTAAAATATTTACAAAACACGTTGGCTGACCTCCGAGCATTGCCCTTACTTGTATGGGTGATAGCACACCACCCTATCTACCAGGGGGAAAAATGTGTCGCCCTGTTAGTATGACCCCTGTTTCATAGATGGGGAGATGAAAACAAAGTGAGATTAAGGGATTTATCAAAATAGGGTGCCACTTGTTTTCACATGCCAAGATGTCCCCTCCCTATTCACCAGCACAGCACCCTGACTGTCCCTGGGAGACCCCTCTTCCATGGTCCCCAGGGCTTTTGGGCAGGGCTTACCACCCTTCCTGGTTCCATAGTTGAGTACCCAACTGTCCTAGTCAGCTGGTGCTGCATGTATAACAAATTCACATGTCGGGGGGCTTAAACAATAGAAATTAAAGTTTTCCCAGTGGAGGCTGAAAGTCCAAGATGACCGTCTGGCAGGTCCGGCCTCTGGCAAGGGCTCCCCTGCTGATGTGCCGACAGTGGCCTTCTCACTGTCATCTCCTTGGTGTGTGCTGGAGGAGAGACCTCTCTGTCTTCCTCTTCTTATAAGGACACCAGTGCTGTTGGATGAGGGCTCATCCTATGACCTCATGTAACCTTAATTATCGCCTAAGGGCCCTATTTCCAAATACAGTCACATTGGGGGTTGGGGCTTCAACATGTGAATTTTGAGGGGACACAGTTCCGTCCATAGCACCACCCCCGGCAGGCTCATCAGTACAGTCTCTCCCTTGGTCACTTGGAGCGTGTCCCCCAAGGCTGTCCCCAGGCGTGGCATTTGCTGCAGCTTTCAGGCAAGCAAAGCTCTCTTTTCCTCTGAGGACACTGAGGCTAGAGCAGCCGGGGGCATATATAGAGGGGCGAGCAGAGTGTGCAGCCAGCTTGGAAGAAAGCCAGGCTCAGGAGAGGATGGAGAGGAAGTAGATCGGGCCCTGATGAAGTAGGATCCCCTTGTCTCTGCTAATGTGATTCAATCCATCCTTTTTGAGCTGTTTCGGCCACTTGCAACCCAAAGAATCCTGATGGATAGACTAAAGTCTCAGAGCTAATACCAGTGGAGATGGTATCTGAAAGCAGTTCTGCTTGGCTCTGAGCGGCTCAACCCAGGATTTCCTGGGAGTAATCTCAGTGCTTCACCCAGGAGTCATCCTCAGTCCCGACCCCCAGGCGGCAGCTGGGGTCTGGACATTTTTATTGCATTCACCCTTGCTCTCCTTAATGGATCGTGGGAGCAGGGAAGGTGCAATGAGTGTACATAAAGAGAGATAATTTTTTAAATCCAGATTATTTCCGGGAGTGCTCCCTAGTTATGCCACGAAGCAAAGCTTCCCGGGACTGAGGTCCCTCAGTAGGTCCTGCAGAAGGCCACAGACTAATTCCCAGCAGTTGAGGGAGGGACCTCTGGCTTCTCTGGAGCTAGGTGCCTGCGATCCAGGCACAGCTCTGCTAAAGCTGTGTGACCTCGGCTGGGCAAGCCCCCCCGCCTGTGCCCCAGTATCCTCACCTTAAAACATGGGGGAAAAGAACAGTGTCAGCTTCATAGGATTAACGTGAGGGGTGAGTGGATATGCAAGGTGATGAGCACAGTGCAGGCAGTTATTCCTCCCAAGGTTGGTTCCCCCTTATTCAGCTCTCAGGCCAAATGTCACCCCGAGAGCCTCCACCTTCCACCTGGCACCCCCACCTTCTCACTCCCTCCTACAGTTTTGTTTCATTCAGAGCATTTTCTGCGATCCCTTCTCTTTTATTAAGGTTTCTGGGGTTTTTTTGTTTGGTTTTTTTTAAGACTGCAAGCTTTAGGAAGGGAGGAAAACTTGTATGTTTCGCCAACTGCTGTTTCCCCAGCTCCCAGCCTCCCGCTTGGCACATAGTGGGTGCTCAGTAAATATTGTTTTGAATAAAAGAAAGCGGCACACAGCGGCAGGCGAGCTTTTACCCCGGGGCCAGCGTCGCCTCCAGCACAGCGCCGCCGCGGCCTGATGGGGCCTGTGATCCGGATCACGTACGAGGACTTGCTGGGGGGCACAGTCTCGGTGTGAGCTTTCCTCCTCTCAACTTCATGTGAACACCACCGCCGAAGCGCCCTGGACAAGGCCGCCGCCCCGGAATCAGGGCCTTCCCAGCCCTGCCTTCGGGGAGGGAGACGGGGTGGCCCGGGGAGGCCAGTACCAAGCGCGTCGTCCTCAAGTCCCTCCCGCCGCCCCGCGCGTCGCTTTAAGGCGGAGGTCCGGGAGGGGGGCCGACCCCGCCCGCCCGCCGGCGCGGCGCGCAGTTCCAGACTTCGGCATTTCCTCCCCGCTAGCTGGCGCGGCCTCGCCTCCCCTCGGAAGAGGAAACTCCCGGAGCCCGAGTAACGGGAACAAGCGCGAAGGGGAGCGGCGGGCGAGTCCGGCGTCAGGAGGGCTGCCCAGGGTAGGCGGCGAGCCCGGTGGGACCGAAGCTTGCCGCGGGACAGCGCGCCGGGACGCGGGGCAGGGAGGGCGGCCGGGCCCGACTCAGCGCGCGGCCGGCGCAGGGCGCGGCCCCGAGCCCGGGAGCGCTGGGCGGGCCGCAGCTGGAAGGAGAACTTGAGCTGGGAGAGGAGGCCGAGCTGGAAGGCGGCTTCCCCCGACCCTGCAAGGGGGGAGCCGCCGCGGAGGCGAAGGAGACCGGGACAGCGGCGCTGCCGGGGCGCTGCGCGCATGCTGGGCCGGTCGCGCCGCCGGGGCTCGCGCCCTGGGCCGCCCGGGCGCCCGGCATGTCGGTGCACTACACCCTCAACCTGCGCGTCTTCTGGCCCCTGGTGACCGGCCTGTGCACGGCCCTCGTGTGCCTCTACCATGTCCTGCGGGGCAGCGGGGGTGCCCGGGCCGAGCCCCCCGACGGCCCGGATGGCGGCTTCCCGCTGCTCAAGGTGGCGGCCCTGCTCCTCCTGGGCTACATCCTCCTGCGCTGTCGCCACGCTGTCCGGCAGCGCTTCCTGCCCGGGTCTCCCCGCCTGGGGGGCCAGGCCACTTTCTCGCCAAGACACTTTCGAGAGCCTCGCCTCGGCATCCTGCTGGAGAGTTACTACGAGCACGAGGTGCGCCTGTCGCCGCACGTGCTGGGCCACAGCAAGGCGCACGTGAGCCGGATTGTGGGCGAGCTGGTGCGGGCTGGTCGCGCCCGTGGGTCCCCTGGCCCCATCCCCGGGGGAGGGCTGGCCTTGGCCTTCCGTGGAGACTTCATCCAGGTGGGCAGTGCCTACGAGCAGCATAAAATCCGACGGCCCGACGGCTTCGACGTGCTGGTGCCCCTGCGCCTGCCGCCGCTGGTGGCGCTGGAGCCGCAGAGCCTGGGTACCGAGCCTGCGCTGGCCCCAGCCTTCCGCGGCTGCTTCGTGTGCGCACTCAAGGCGCCTCCGGGGGCCTCCGGGGGCCACTGGCTCCGGGACTGCAAACCCTTCGCTGACGGCTTCTGCGTGGATGTGCGTGGGCGGCGCCACCTCTCAGCCACCCTGGTGCTGCGCTGGTTCCAGTCGCACCTGCAGCGCTCCCTGGCCACCGTGCGCTACAGCCTGGAGGGTCGCTGTCGGGTCAGCCTGACCCCTGGCGGCCTGGAGCAGCCTCCCACTCTGCACATCCTGCCCTGCCGCACCGATTACGGCTGCTGCCGCCTCTCCATGGCCGTGCGTCTCATCCCCGCCGTCCATTTGGGCGACGGCGTCTTCCTCGTGGCACCACCACTGGCCCCTTCGCCAGTCGGGCCCCTGTCGGAGCTCCCGGGAGGCCTGCGCGCCGATGCACTGTGGAGCGTGAACACGTCGCGCCAGGAGCAGAAGCTGCTGGGCTCGCTACAGGAACGGGCCCCTCCAGGTGCCTGCTACCTCAAGTACCTGCAGTTGCTTAAAGCCCTGCGAGACCTGGGCGCCCGTGGGCTGGACCCGATGGCCGCCGCCCAGTGGGGGCGAATCCTGTCCTCGTATGTGCTCAAGACGGCGCTGCTGGCGGTGCTGCTGCGCGAGAGGGCAGTGGAGCAAGGCTGGGACGAGGTGCACCTGGTCAGGCGCTTGGAAGAGTTAGTGCAGTTCCTTAGGGGCTGCCTCCTGGGACGCCAGACCCTCTTCCACTGCGTCCTGGGCTCTTACGGGACCGCCGCCGAGGTAGGCCCACTGCCCAAGGTACTGCGTGAAGCTGCCCCAGTCGACCTTCTGGCTGCTTTTGACAGGCACTCCCGTGAGCTTGCGGCGGCACGGTTGCTGTCCACTTGGCGAAGGCTTCCCCAGCTTCTCCGAGCCTATGGGGGTCCCCGTTACCTTGCCATGTGTCCCCCACCCCGGAGTCAGCGCACCCAGGAGTTCCCTAAAGATGAACCATGAACAGTGACAGCACCCCTACCTGGCCTGATGCTCCTAAAGCTTCTCCCACCGGGTGGGGGTGGGGATGGCAATGAAGCCAATTTCACACAAGGAAGATGAGCAGGTGTTGGGAAGTTTGGACGGAGCATGACATTTGGTGGCTTAAATATCACCCTTGGCTCCTCAAGCCAGTGCAGTGGCATCTTCAGGCCCACCAGAGTGTCCTAGGCAGGCTGCGGAAAGACATCCAACAGCCGCAGCTGAGCTGGTCCACATTTTGGCTTGTGTGGAACGATTCTGTAAGGATCCGCTGCTTTTAGAGAAGTCCAGTAAAGGAAGCAAAAACTAGCTTCAGTTTCCTTTGTCGGTTTTTGAGACACAGATCTCTCTGGCCCCCAGGTTTAAAGCAGCTGATTTTTTTTAACTACTTGCTAGGTCCTGGTTTCCCGATTGTCTTTTTTTAAAAATCAGAATATCTCCAACTGGAATTGAAGTTCTGTTCTAGGGGCTATGGTTCTGAGGAACATCGTTTCCACTATTGAGATTAATATTGATGTATTTTTTAAATGGTGCAATCACGGGTGTCTGATGGGATCGTGACGAAGTCACACAGGTTAAGAGGCAATCAAGAGTTGGTTAGAGAAACTTCCAGAGCAGATAGCACTTTATTTTGATCACTTCTTTCGCTGTGTGGTAATTGCTGGTGCCGAATGTTGCATCTGAAAGGGAGGCCAGGTGGATTCAGCACAGGTCTTGCCAAGCATTTCGCTGATGTGTAGGTCAGTGCCTCCAGCTTTGTGCTTGATCAGCGACTCCCCCATCGGTCAGCAGAGGAGAAAGATGCAGGGAGATGGAAGGAGGCAGCCTGTGTCAGCAGTCAGCTCTTTTTTTGTCTTTGGGCAGAAATATCACCGGGTTGGGTGCATATTGTAGCCAAAAAAAGCCCATTCTGAAATCCCTCCTTCTCCTAAACTTCTAACAGCCCACAATTGCATCCATCAACTTAAATCTCAGTTTAAGTTTAGAAAGCTCCATTCTATGCTCATCTAATAGAAACTGCAGCCAGTGCCTGTGTTATACTTTGGGATTTTTTTTTTTAACACATGTAGTCCCTTAGACTCTTAAAGGTAAAAGGTAAAAAACTTGGAAGCCGGATGGAGCCACCTGAATAGGGCCATTGTTCAATTTCTCAGTTATTTTGTGAGGGAACTCCTTAAACTTTCTGTAGAGGACCTACTTGGCCACTGCAAGAAATCATTGTGAATAAATGATTTATAGGAAATCCTTGTTATCAGAGCTGCAGAGACTTCTTACATCCTTCGCAACCTTGGACTGTAAGAGAAACGGTTGCAAATGTTGTGCTTTCTCTTTGAGGTTTTGGGGACTGTTCCCCTTGATACCACAAAGGCTATTCCTAGCTTTTGAGAGGTCAGTGTTAGGTCATAAGGTACTACATTTAGCAAAGTCTACCAACTTTCTGCAAAGATGTAAACTGCACAGTGTTTTCTTAAAATTACTTTTTAAAATAAATGTCAAGAGAAAGTAGATTTTATATATATATATATGTATATGTATTTATAACGTTTTCATAGTCAGCCACGACTTCCCCTGTAGTCGTTAAGTCTGCTGGAGTGGGGGGTGGGCAGCGAGGCTCTTGGAGGGATTATCAAACTTATTTTTAAAAGCTGAGTTTTCCAAATATTGCTAGCTAAGGTGATAGGTTCCTTTTCTTTTTTTTTTTGGTCTTAATAGTGTTTTGAAGTTTAAATCTGGTAACAAGAGTGTTCTTGTAGGTTTTTGTTATTTTTTTTTTCTCCAGGTTAATTGCCCAAAGCCTCATCCATCCTCAAGATTTTAAATTTTTATTATTTTTTTAAATTAACGGGGCATTGTGTTTGTGAATTTTTAAAATATTAGTGTTTTATTTAAATGCCATGCTGAGCATTTGTTCTCTGTACATGGTAACCAAAACTTAGAAATTTCGATCAATTTTGATCACTGTTGCGTAATCCTAAACATGTACTGTGTACAAATGAAATAATACGGCATATTAGCCAGGCGTGATGGCTGCCTGAGGCACTTAATGAAGCTTACTTCTGTATTTTATCAGGGCTTCGTCATGTTCTTGGTCAGAAATGTACACATTTTTGGTGTACACTTGGTACTAGAGAATCATATGTCATATCTGCAATATTCTTATACAGGAAGGCTCAGAATTGCTCATGTTAAAAAAAATTTTAAAAGGATTGATTGTCCAGCCAGTGCCCAAAGAAACTGTTTGGGAAAAATGACTCAGAGTCATTTTGCCACGAAACACCCTTCAGCGACTCCCACTGACCAGTCTTGGGAGCCATCCTGGAATGCTCGTGGGCTGAGATTAGGAGATGCTTTTTTTTTTTTTTTTTTTTTAAATCAAACTGAAGCTGAAAGAAAGGAGAATGTGAGCAAACCAAGAGAACTCGGAAGGGTTCAGAAAGGAGGACTTAAGATGAAAGTGAAGGGAAGGGGAAATGGGATGGAAATCATATGAGGATGTGAGAGAGGTTTGGGTTAGGAACCACAGTTTTAGGTATGTGCTATTGCAAACCAGGGGTCGCAAACTCAGTAGCCTACAGAAGCAAGGTAGGGAAGGGGTGGGTGGGTTGTAGGGCTTGTGCAGGTCTTTAGGGGGACAAGCCATTACTCGGCTCCCTGTAGGGAAAAGAGGTAGCGAGGGGCTGGGAATCAGGATTTTTTTTGTTTATGTGAAACTTCATGATTTTTAAACAATCATTTAAAAATGTCCAAAACACCATGTGGGCCAAACAAAACATTTGGTTGCGCTTGTGGGCCACCAGTTTGCGACCCCTGCCTTACACAGTTAACCCCCCCCCAAGTATGTATAAGGTTATATTTATTGTTTTGGATATAATGTTGTGACACATAGTTGGGGGAGAGATATTTCAAGTCTTCTTTAGCTCTCAGAGCTAAGCTTTATTGTAGAAACAAACCCAAACAAATTAACATGGCCACTGATAACACTTGACTCACAATTCCCAGAAAGACCCTCGGTCCTGGAGCTGTTCTTTGCAGCCAGATCCTCCATCAAACCACTTGGAGGCCCATTCGTTCTTGACATTTCCTTCCTGGTGAGTCCTGGCTAAACTCCTAGGCTCCTTTGGAGCTTGCAGATGAGTCATCAGGAAGGATTGAAGAATAACTTGTTTCTTTTTTCCTTGCATTTTATGCGGATTTTTCAAGTCTGAATTTTTTTAGTGGTATCCTTGCCTGTGCCTTGGCAGTGGTGGCCGATGGCTGTGAACACCTGAAGAGCGGTGCTGGGTCTTCGGGCCAAGCTTCTCAGGCTTGTTACCACTCCCCACTGCTGAGAACACTGCTCTGATCAGATGTGCCTGTCCCCCCCCAGACTCGGCTGCTCCCACCGAAGTTGACATCCTAGCGTTCTGAAGGAAGTAACCTCATAGCTTCCTAAGCGTCTCTTTTAACCTCATGGAGTAGGTCACTTTTTCTGTAAAATGTGGCTTTTGATGCTGAAGACATAACGCATCCCTACCCACGTGGGGAAGGTTATTACCTTCCCTCCCCGGTGGTGGAGAAAAGGAACCTTAGTCACATTCCCAGTGTCCCTTGAGAGGGAAAGACGTTCAGTGTTATCACGTGGAGCTTAATGTTTTTTAAATCGCACGTCTGTTACTCAGACACTACTGTTTATTTTCTTACACCTACACAGCCTTTGATTTAGTGGGGATAAAGCTAGTATAAGGTGGGGAGGGGAAGGGTGAAGATATACGCAATTATCTATACGGAGAGAAAGGACTGAAACATGCAGCTAAATTATATATAATCTGGTGTTTGAAGTATCGGATATTCAGGAGTACTTTGAGCACCTTTTGCTTTAAAAAAAAATGTGCCTTGATTGAGCCACCTGACTTGAAAACATTCCTCTTATTTTATTGTGATTTTTAATGTATATTCTGACCCCAAACTGTGTATTACGATGCAGTGTGTCGGCTGCCATCATAGCATATATGCTGTGTTCCAGTAACAGAGACCAAAGAGTTAATTAATTACAGTTCAGCTGCTACAGTCGTGTGATTAAAAGGCATTTTAATCACACCCAATTTCCAAGGCCCCAGCAGTCGAGGCCTGCGACGTGTTTTCTATTTCAGGTTGGAGTAAATTTGCACTTTCAATCAGATGGGTCATTTGACGGCCTTGTTCTTTTATACTTTGCTTTGTTAATAAAGGAACTTGTAGAAACCTCTGGACTGGACGTCAGATTTGGGGAGGGGCCTCGTCTTCCTGGCGGGCAGCCTGTGACTGCACAGGCTTATGATTCTTTACAGAAGACTTACCTGCTTTCAGCGTCTGGTCCCGTGTGGCGAAGCCGGAATCGCCGTTGGTGCAGAATTAGCTCCAGGTCACAGGCCCGTAGGCTGACAGCCTGGAGTCCCGCCCTCGAGTGTCCTTGTTCCTTGCTGAGAACCTTCTGCCCTTGGGCCCCCCTTCCACGTCCCTCTTCCCCTGCTCCCACACACGCTCCTAAACCCAATGCAAGTCTTGGCCTGTGACTAATTTATAGCTCGAGAATTTTGCCCAGAACTCTCTTAGGTCCTTGGGCCCTTTCCAAATGGTAAACAACTGCTAATATGAAAAACCACCAGGCTTAGCGAGAGATGAAATCTTGGAACCTGTGCAGGACTCTTGAGAGCCTCGGAGGCAGGTGGAAGCTGAGGGGACCCTGTACCCACAGACTGATTAAACAGTAGTTGCGTAGGATGGTGGGTCCGGGGGAAGGTGGTAGGGTGTGATTCTTTTAGTTTTCAACAAGTACTTAACCCGTGGCTGTTGTCCCCGGGCGTGGAGGACACACGCAGCGGTGAAGACCGAGACAGATGAGGTCTGATGAGCCCTCAAACTGTTGTGGGAGGCAGGCGATGAAGGACATCGTCTCCATACAGTGCGGAGGGTGCTGGGTGGGGGAACATTCTGGAAGCATAGGATATGCCGTTCAGTGGCTTCAGGGAGAACTGATTGGAACTGATGCCTGCGTTGAGATCCAGTGATAGGTAGGAATCCGCTGAGTGAGCTGGGCCAGAAAAGAAAGCATCAAGCACAGAGGTGAAAGGAATGTGTCAGTTTGGCCAAAAAGTGGGGGTGGGTAGGCAGGAGGCGGTTTCAGTGGCTGAGGACAAGGAGGGAGAGGTAGATAGGAAGGCACCAGGACACCAAGGTAACAAGAAGCCAAAGCTTCTCAAGCTAGAGCGTGCGATTTGCCTGGGAGTCTTGCTAGAAGGCGAGTTCTGGTTCAGCAGGTCTGGGTGGACCTGACACTCTGCATTTCTAAAATGAGCTTCGAGGTGATGGTGATGATGCTGGTCCAGGGGCTGCCATTTGATGGCAAGCCCGTCAACCACACTGTGAGTTTGAACTGATCCAGACGACACTGATGAACGAACCACTTAGGCGAGGAGTGAATGGCAGGGTCACGTTTGAGTTTGGTTTGCTCTGGCTGCAGGGTGGGAAATAGAGGAAGCAGGGGTTGACACACGATTTATTTTTATTTATTTACAAAATTTGTTTTGCAAGCAAAGTCCTACGGGCACGTAGCCATGCCCGTTCATTTACGTATCTTCTGGTTGCTCTCGCCCTAAGTCATGGGAATTGAGTAATTGGGACACAACTCTGAAAATACTTATTCTGGCCCTTTACAGAAAATGTTGGCTGGAATTAATCAGACTGGAAGTCATCAGATGCAGCAGTGGCCCAGCCTGGGGAGGTGGGAGGGACCTGAGGTAGGGACAGAAAATTACCCTAGAGACAGAACGGTGTCATGGTTAGGGCCAGCACTTTCACACCAAGAGGCCTGTCTTCTAGTCCTGCTTCCTGCACTTCCCAGGTTACCTACCGTGTTTGCCGGCGTATAAGACGATTTTTTGGCCCTGAAAAATATGCCTCCAAGTGGGGGGTCGTCTCATACGCCAGGTACACTTCAGATAGACTGCCCATAGTGCTTGCCCCGTGCCATAGTGGCCTCCCGGTGCCCGCCCACTTCATTCCACATACCGTTCAGGCATCAGCAGCGCTGCTGGGTGTATGGTCGGCTGTGTGCGATTTTGCGAGTGTGGTAAATTCGGGTTACCGTATATTTCTTTACATATGCATTGAAGATTCGCGATTTTGCGCTATCATGGTGCCTGTTAGAATGTTGAAGAGCTCGCACTTGCGCACTAGTGAGGTCCCAGGGAGATGCTGATGCAAGGGTGGACCAGACTGCTATAGTGACAGGGCGGGCAAACAGGGAGCAGGGACCAATCAAATCAGGCTTTGTATACAGCCAACAGCCAACCACAATACTGCACCATTGTACAGTACAGCATAGAAAATGTCGACCAGTCAAACCCCTATCATCCCTATCATGGCACCAGCCAAAAGAAAGAAGTATGATGCAAATTTTAAACTGAAAGTTATAAACTTTGCTAAGGAAAATAATAATTGTGCTGCTGCAAGACAATATGGAGTAACAGAAAAGATGGTTCGGGACTGGAAATCAAATGAGAAAGCATTAAAGAGTATGCCAAGGGGTAAGTGTGCATTAAGAAGAGGCACCCCACACTGGCCAGAACTCGAAAAACATGTAGCAGACATGGTGGCTCAACATCGCCAAAACGGTTATGTGGTGACACGAAATACAATACGCTTGTTTGCACTTCAGTGGGCCAAATCAAATCTGATATTGTTTTACCTTTTATTTGGTGTGTGGAAGGTGTGCGGAAGAGGGGGTAGTCTTATACGGCGAGTATATAACAAACTCTGTATTTTGAGTGGAAATGTTAGGGGGTCGTCTTATACGCCCAGTCGTCTTATACGCCGGCAAATATGGTAATCCTCTCTGAGCCTCGAGGCCCTCATCTGTAAAATGGCATTAATAATAGAACCTGTCTCATAGGAGTGACTGGGGATTCAGTGAGATTGTGCCTGCAAAGTGCTTGACACATATGAAGCACCCAGTGCGTGACTTAAACAATGAGGGGCTTGTCTTTTGTCGTGAGCCAGAGGCCTGGAGGTTGGCAGCCAGCAGTTCAGGGATGAATCAGGGACCCAGGCGTATTTCTGCTCTGCCATTCTGGGTGTCTTCCCTTTATCCTTACGATTGTCACGTCAGGATCCCACAGTGGAGAAGAGAGAATGGATTAGAAAATGCAGTAGACTTCCTCTTACATCTCATTGGCCAGAATGGTGTCACATGACCTCCCTTAGCTGCAAGGGAAGCTGGGAAAGAGAGCCTGGCACCTGGCATGTAGCAGCCCTGAGCCAAATATGCAGGAAGAATGGATATTGGTGGGTAAATAATACTGTGCGACATGTGCTAAAAACAAATACTAGAAGATTGTGTCAAAGACATGGGAAGTAATAAGGGAATTTATAATTCCATAATTATATAATTTGTACTTGCCTAAGTCCTGGCATACAGTAAATGCTCCGTAAATGTTAGGATTGAAGTCTCAGCTCTACCATTCACTGGCTGTAATCATTTGGGCAAGTCAGTTGTTTAGTCATCAGTTCTCTCACTTGCAAAATGGTGATGGTAGTCCCTCCGTTTACAGGTTTATTGGAAAAATCGAAGAATGATGCATGTGAAATTGAGAAGTGCTTTCCACGTGTTAGCTGTGGTCTCTTAGGGGGCGCTGCCCCAGCACCTTTGAAACAACAGAGCAGGGAATCCATTTCTTAAGAGGGGGTCACCCTCGGGCATTCTGCGCAGTGCCTCCCCATCACCAAACCTCCCTTCCTACAGAAGTGAGTCTGCAGTTGTGAATATTTGTTGTACGTATTCCCAGAAGGGAAGACATCCAGTGAGAGGACTGACCGCCCCTGTATCTTTTTTCTTCTGAATTATGTCTTCTTATAAGCTTTCTCCCCATTTCATTTCTCAAGTGAAATTTGATTTCCATTGCTTAAGTACTGGCAGAAAGCTCAGGCTAATGTTTCTCAATCCTGGTCCTATAATAATACACAAGGGGCTCTGTACAATGATCCATTGCTCCGGACTCCACCCTGGCCCAGTGAGGCCAGAGACTCGGGGTGCAGTCCAAGCATGGGTACTTCCACGCTCCCTGGATGATACTAGCATGTAACCAGGGTTGTGCGCTGTTGACTTGGGTCAGCTGGCCTTCTGGCACCTTTCAGGAGAGAGCCTGTAATTTCCCCACCAGGTGTCGTGAAACCCCCAGCTAGTAGGTGTGAAGTTTGCCTCTGTGGCGGAGACAGATAGCAGAAGGGAGGGTGGTGGTAGTGGTGGAATAAAATCCTTGGACAGAACTCTTTAGCTAAGAGACATGAGGCAAGATATTGAAAAGCAGGCACAGGATTTAATCCTAGTGGCAGTTCCCTTTCCTCTGACCCCAGGGAGATGGAATCGAAAAAAATATGAAAAAAAATGAAAAAAGCCACCAGAGCCATCCTGAACCTTATCAGCAAAGCAAAGCCTCTCCATTCGGAGGGATAGTAACCTCATTCTTTTAGCCTTCTCGCCTGGAGAGAACCCACATCAGATGCAGCCTGTCTTCACAAAATGCAGCTCTTTTTATGAATATTCAGTGGCCTCACACTTTGTCTCCATCTCTCCCGACTACCCGCAGTGACTTTGCACTTAAGAAAAGCTAGTCCATCAAGATACCCTCCAATGAAGCCAGGGGAGCGGAAATTAGGAGTCCTACTGGGTGCCAGACTCAAACTAAAAGCTTTTGAGGACCTTATCTCATCAGAAGATTTTTATCTTCGTGGTTTATTTAATCTTTGGTCTCCTTGAATTAGGAGCTATGCCTCTGATGGGCAACTGTCTATCCTTATCAAAATGAAACCGTTAAAACATATTTCCACCATGGAGGAAAATGGTGTGGCATTTGGAGATGGGGGACCCTCAGGGTCTTGCATGGCAAGAAACTGCACTGCAAACACTGCTCCATGTTTTAAAGGATTTCTGATGATTATTTTTCCTCTAGTAAATCCCTGGTTTTCAAAAGCAGTCTAATTAAGAATCTCCACTTTCCAAGTTTTCAAAACGCATCTGGGGGTCCTCTTACTAAACCCGGGCCAGCCAAGAAGCCTGAGCCCTTTCCACATGTGGCAGAGACACTTCTGCTTGCCCAGTATCACTGAGGAACCCACCTCCCAGCCCGGCTGCAGTCAGGCAGGGCCAAGTGACTGGTTCTGACCAATGGGCAGGGAGCAGAAGAGACTTGTCATGATCCTGCAGAGGCA